GCCAATCAAATAAATATCCTTTTATGTATAAATGTGTTTTCTGCTAGCTATACAATCTTTTGTCCATGTGAATGTTACCCCCAACTCCATGAGCCTTTATTTTCTTCAGGAATCTTTGTGGCACTTAACAATGCGTGTTACTTCTTGAAAGAACTCCAATAAATTGATTAACTATGATTTCCCTTTGAAACAATGCTGATTCTCCTAATTACCTTGAGTGTAGCTGGGTGTGCAGCAACAATCCTTGTAAAGATTGAATCTAGCGCCTCTCCCATGACATGTCAAACTAACTGGCCTATGGCCCTTTTTGAATAGATGGTTATTTTGCTACTTTGCCTTATGGAACCTGTCCAGAATCCAGCGAATTTTGGAAAATTAACACCAATGCATGTACTACTCCATTAGCCACCTCTTTTAATGCTTGAGGTGAAGTCCATCTAGAAACAGAGATTTGTCAGTCTGCAGCTCCAATAGTTTGCCAAGCACCACTTCCCTCGTAATTATAATTTCATTAACATCACCCCTCCCTCCCAATTCCTGATTGACATTTTTTTACTGGAATGCTTTTTATGTCCTCTATAGTGAAGACAGAAGCAAATTATTTGTTTCATCTGCCGTTTCCTTATTGTCTACTATTAATTCCTCATTCTCACTTTCCAGAGGACTAACATTTGCTTTACTTGCTCTTTTTTTCAAATATCTTTAGAAATACTTATCAATTTTTATATTTCCACCTATAGCTTGCTGTTGAATTTCTTCCGCTTCGTTTTGGTTATTCCCTATTGTACTTTATATTCTGATCAGTCACCTGACCTGCCACTCATCTTTGTATAGTTAATACTGTTTTCTTAAGTATCAGGCTTTACCTGACTTCTTGAGTGAATTGCAGATGATGTGTCTTCTCATTAGAATTTTTCTTTATAGTAAGAATATACTTATTCTGAGCATTCTGAAATACCTGTTTAAATGTTTGCCATTGCATCCTTAATAATCTAGGCCCTAAACTAATATGCCACTTCACTTCAGCTAACTCAGCTTTCATATCACACAGTTGCCCTTATTGAGGTTTAAAACACTTGTCTTGGATCCAATCTTCTCCATTTCAAGCTGGATGTAAAATTCAATCATGTTGTTGTCACTGCTGCCGGGGAATGCCTTTGTGCTGAGATTATTTATTAATCCTGTCACAGTACACAATACCAAATCCAATATAATCTGCATTCTGGTCAGTCCAGAATCTTGAAAGCATTCTCTGAAATCCTCATCCAGACTACTACTGCCATTCTGATTTTTCTAGTTTATATGTAGATTAAGGTTTAAATGCAACATATGTTTGAAATTTGAGCAGCTTCAGCTCACAGTTTGAGTTGGAATGCAGGTAGTATGATGCATCAGGGAGAGGTGAAGTTATCTAGATTCTTTGTACCAGGACACAATCAACGACTTAGGAAATGGTGTTCTAATTTGATCATTGGTCACGGACAGGGATTATGTGTCTGTGAGTGAGGCAGGCAAGTGGATCCAGAGGATAGGAGTTTAGGAATGTCAGCCATCTGCAATTGTCAGTAGGTTTTAGGTTCTGCCAACCCATTTTGATAAGAGCAGAGGCTGCAGGCAGATTAGCAAAGCGACTGGCACAGTGGTACAGGAAGCTATTCAAGTGGGTGAGCAACAAGGAATGTAGAAGGGCTTAGTATGGTGAGGGGATTGACACTGTTCACTGCAGCAAAGAATGAGCATCTAGATAGCTGTCTTTCCTGTCTTGTGCCAGGATTCGAGAAAACTGCTCAGGGCAGGAAAGGAAGTTGCGTTGGGAGAGGAAGGATCCAGTGCTTGTGGGCTGTGCAGGTAACAAAGACATCTGTAGAACTAAGAAACCAATTCTGCGTAGATAAACGAGGAGTTCAGCACTAAATTAAAAACAGTTCTTCAAAGATTATATTCTCTGGATTATTATCTGAACTGGGGTATGGTACATAAAATTAGCGAGGTGAATATGTGGCTGAAAGACTGGTGTGGAAGAATTGGGTTCCAGTTTGGGCCACTTGCACCAGTACTGGGCAAACCTGGAGCTGTAAGGTGAAGAGACGGTAAGAACTGCCGATGCTGGAGTCCGTTGCCCAAGGGCCCATTTCTGAAGAAGGGTCCCGACCTGAAACATCAGCTTTCCTGCTCCTCCGATGCTGCCTGGCCTGCTGTGTTCCTCCAGCTCCACACTGTGTTATAGCTGTAAGGTGAAGATATTTTACATCTGAACCGTGCTGAGACCAGTGTTTTTACGAATGTCATGATTAAGGAAGTAGAGTTTTAAACTAGATAGTAGGCAAGTGATCAAATGTGGAAAGATGTATATCCAAGAGTAGATACAACGCAAGAGAAGAAAATAACATGGCAAGTGAGGATCAGAGAATGGCCAGATGAAACAGAGGAAAAACACTACAGATATACCAATAATCAAAGCTAAGTGCTGCAAAGATAAAAAGACTAAACTAAAGGCTCTACTTGAATGTGCAAAACATTCTTAATAAATTTAACAAATTGATAGCGCACGTTGAAGCAAATAAATATGAGACGGGGCTGCAGCATTGCAAGGATTGTATCCTGAATATTGAGGAATGTATATTATTCCAGAAAATTAGGTAACTATGTAAAGATGGATGGATAGCACTACCAATCAAGGATGGCATTTGTGCAATAGTTACAGAAGAGCTTGGTCCAGGAGAACAGGATTGTAGAATTAGTTTGGGTGGAGATGAAGAATAGTAGGGCAAAGAAGTCATCAGAGTGTGTTTTTACATGAATCGCAAAAAAAAAGTGGGTACAGCAAGTAATTAGGAAGGCAAGTGGAATATTGGCCTTTATTTGAAGACTAGAGTATAAAGTTCATTTCATCTTGTCAAGTACTGTTGAGACTGCCCTTGGAGTATAGTATAGGGTTTGGTCTTTAGACTTAAGGCATGCTTTATTTGCATTGGAAGCAGTTCAGAGAAGTTTCAGTAGGCTGTTACATGGGATAACAGCAGGTTGGGACTGTACTGTAGAATAATGAAATGAATCTTGTCAAGTCCACTTAGAATTTTGTATATGCTTTGATATGAAGATTGGGAGGATGTTTTTGCTCATGAGGACATCTACATACTTTACTCACTGTTATAATGGTGACTGTATAATATAGCCAAATTAATGCTAATTAACAAATAATACGATCTGCTTTTGCAATGCATACATTGAGAAATTTGTGAGCTACAGAACATCCGAGGTTTCTTAACTTATTTTGTGGTCCTATTTTCATGAAGACAATAGTTGACAACAATGGTGTCCCTTTTAGTCTTACAGGACTGATTATTGAACATTAACTTGTAAGTTGATTTTGATTACTTGTTGATTGAAATGATTAATAGGTATGGAATCTACTTATGATGTAATACTGTCTAAATAATGCAACATTTCTATGTTGAATAAGAGTCTCCAAAAAGCTGCTGAATCATTTTAACTTTTATCTGACAATGAGTCAAATATGCCTTAATTGGCAGTGGAGGCATCAAGTCAAAATTCTAAGAAGGACTCTGATAATCTTTAAAATATGATGTTTTGTTTCAGCACGCCTTTCATCTGGATTTCAATCTAACCAAAGCTGATTTCTCCTTTCTGATAGCTGCAAGAAACTTGGACATCTTCACTGTTGTTATGAGTACATGTGGCATAAATCTGATAGTAACTGAGCAGAAGGGACACTGAAATTATAGCATTATTCAGAGATCTTAAAGTTAATGAACTGAGCACCGGTTTCCTGATTACAACCTCGGGGCATGCTGATGAGACTGAAGAGTTGTTTACCAATGGTAGTGCTATGCTCTACCTATGCTTTATCTACCTAGGAGCTGCAACAGACAGTAGCATTTGGACATTTTCATTTTCTACCTCTGTTGTGGACAAAACTCTCCTCAATGAAACTATGCTGCATAAGTTGTGAGATATAACTGGTCCAGATATTCAATGCATTTACTTGCATTTCTAACAGGATGCTTCACATGCAGTAGATTACCTTCTGAAGTGCAGTCAAAGATCTTAGGTGGCCAAATGTGGTTACTGTGTTGCGTACAGTAAAATATCAACTTGCAAATTAATAGAATGGTCAATTAATCTCAGGGTTTATTGTTCCAAAGTACTTATCCCCTCTCTCCCATGGAATAGTGTCATAATAGGATATTCGTGCAGCCTTGGTTTAATGACATGGGTTGAAAGATTGCACACCAACAATGTAGCATTTTTTTTCAGTAAAGCATTTATCAGCTTGGCAGAGTATCTCTAAATGCCACCTGTAGCAAAATTGACGTCATTCTCAAACAATGAGAAGCAGCTAGCTGCCTGTCTAAAGATGATGTTGCAGTATGTAAAATGAAGGACTTTGTACAACAAAAATAAAGTTATTTGATTTTGAAACTAGTTTCTCTTTGTAGCATCCCTCTGCTTCTCCATCTTAGCAACTTTCCCTCTCACTTACATCCCTTGCAGCCACCCAGTCTTCCTCCAGCTATCCTGGGCAAAAAGGAAGCTAGCTCCTGCTGCAGACCTCCCCTGCTCCCAGCCTTTCTCCCTGCTTCCGCAAGGGTCCCAGCTCTGCTTCCCTTTTTTCAGCAGCGTATGCACTGATGATGGTGTTGCTGTTCACGGAATGAAGTGATTTAATCGGAGCACGTGCAGACGCTTTCTGTGGCCTGTCCTGTTGTCGCAGATTACAACTTATGTCAGTTCTCAAATCCTAAAGTAGGACTTTATCTCTCAGCTTTCACATCCAGGAGCAAGAGTATGAACAACTGAACAAAGCTGATTTTTAACTCAGAGGAAATGATACACCAAATAGTTAGCACTGAGGCAAACTGCATTTATCTGTATTAAAAAAACTGAACAATAGGGCCAATGCGTAACAATCTGGATGTAAAGGCTGCTGGTGTCATTGCATTGACTAATGTGTCTGACATAAGGCGTTTCTTTCATAGGTGCCGTGCATACGAGGACTGTTGTGGTACAAAATGCTGTATGCGAGCATTCTCTATTCAACGATTATGGTATTTTTGGTGAGTTTTAAGCATGCTTTTGTTATGCATGTTAAATAATGAGTTGGTATTTTTTGGGGGAAAAGAATAAATCTATATCAATTCTTTCAGATCTTGATTTGTACACAATTATCATGGTACAATATGTAAATGAATATTTGCTCATACATTTTTGCATATATTGCCTTTTTTAATGTATTCTCTGACATCTATAACTTGAATGTTCAAACAGTAGCTGCAGAGTTAGACTTTCTGACTGATTTACTCATTTTTCTTCCGGGAAGTATGCAAATTGAATGAGAGCTCTTGAGTGAAGGTAAGAAACAGAAACAAGGAAAATACGAGAAGGAGTAGGCTATTCGACCCATCAAGCCTGCTCCACCTTTCAATATGATTATGGCTCATTCTCTATCTCAGCACTAATACTCCTGCTCTCTCCCCATACCCCTTGATGCCATTAGTGTCTACAAGGCCTATCTATTACTTTTTAAAATATATTCAGTGACTTTGCCTTCACAACCTTCTGTGGTTGAGAATTCCATAAGTTCACCACCCCCTCAAAGAAGAAATATCTCCTCATTTCAGTGTTGGATGAGTCACCCTGTATCCTGAGAATGTGATCCCCTGTACGAGACCCGCCCCAACCACAGGGAGCATCATCCCTGCATTCGGTCTGTCCAGTCCTATCAGAATTTTATACGTTTCAATTGGATCTCCTCTCATTCTTCTAAAGTTCAGTGAATAAAAGTTCAGTCAACCCAATCCCTCCGCAACTCTGCCATCCCAGAAATCAAACCAGGTGAACATTTCCTGCACTCTTTCTGTGATAAATACATATTTTTCTTGGGCATGGAGATCAAGACAGCACACAGTACTCCAGGTGTGGCCTCATCAAGGCCCTGGGTAGCTGCAGTAATACTCCTGTGCTCTTGTAACTGTCCTTGCAATAAAGATCAAAATACCTTTTGACTTCCTAACTGCTTGATAGACCTGCATGCCTGCTTTCAGTGACTAGTGCACAAGAACACCAGGGTCACTTTGTACATCAATGTTCCCCAATCAATGATAACCGGGTGTAGAGCTGGATGAACACAGCAGGCCAAGCAGCATCAGAGGAGCAGGAAAGCTGACATTTCAGGTCTAAACCCTTCTTCAGAAATGGGGGAGGGGAAGGGGATTCTGAAATAAATAGGGAGAGAGGGGGAGGCAGATAGAAGATGGATAAAGGAGAAGATAGGTGGAGAGGAGACAGACAGGTCAAAGAGGTGGGGGTGGAGCCAGTAAAGGTGAGTGTAGGTGGGGCGTTAGAGGGGGGAATAGGTCAGCCCAGGGAGGACGGACAGGCCAAGGGGGTGGGATGAGGCTGGTAGGTGGGAGATGGGGTTGGGGCTTGAGGAGGAGGGGATAGGTGGGAGCAAGGACAGGTTAGGGACAAGCTGGGCTGGTTTTGGGATGCGGTCAGGGGAGGGGAGATTTTAAAGCTTGTGAAGTCCACATTGATACCATTGGGCTGCAGGGTTCCCAAGCGAAATATGAGGTGCTGTTCCTGCAACCTTCGGGTGGGATCGTTGTGGCACTGCAGGAGGCCCAGGATGGACATGTCATCTAAGGAGTGGGAGGGGGAGTTGAAATGATTCACGACTGGGAGGTGCAGTTGTTTAGTGCGAACCGAGCGTAGGTGTTCCACAAAGCGGTCCCCAAGCCTCCGCTTGGTTTCGCCGATGTAGAGGAGGCCACATCGGGAACAGCGGATACAGTATACCACATTAGCAGATGTGCAGGTGAACATCTGTTTGATGTGGAGGGTCTTCTTAGGGCCTGGGATGGGGGTGAGCGGGGAGGTGTAGGGGCAGGTGTAGCACTTCCTGCGGTTGCAGGGAAAAGTGCCAGGGGTGGTGGGGCTGGAGGGGAGTGTGGAGCGGATGAGGGAGTCACGGAGAGAGTGGTCCCTCCGGAGAGCAGATAAGGGTGGGGAGGGAAAAATGGCTTTGGTAATGGGATCAGATTGCAGATGGTCGAAGTGCTGGAGGATGATGCGTTGGATCTGGAGGTTGGTGGGGTGGTACGGGAGGACGAGGGCGATCCTGTTTTGGTTGTTATTGCGGGGAGGGGCTGTGAGAGATGAGTTGCAGGAAATGCGGGAGACGCGGTCGAGGGCATTTTCGACCACTGTTGGGGGGACGTTGCGGTCCTTGAAAAACGAGGCCATCTGGGATGTCTGGGAGTGGAATGCCTCATCCCAGCGGAGGCGAAGTAATTGGGAATCGGGGATGGCATTTTTGCAGGAAGGTGGGTGGGAGGAGGTGTATTCTAGGTAGCTGTGGGAGTCAGTAGGCTTGAAATGGATATCGGTTTCCAGGTGGTTGCCAGAGATGGAAACAGAGAGAGAGGTGTCAGAGATTGTCCAGGTGAACTTAAGGTTGGGGTGGAAAGTGTTAGTGAAGTGGATGAACTGTTCGAGCTCCTTGTGGGAACACGAGGTGGCACCGATACAGTCATCGATGTAACGGAGGAAGAGTTGGGGTATAGGGCCGGTGTAGCTTCAGAAGAGGGATTGTTCCATGTATCCTACAAAGAGGCAGGCATAACTTGGGCCCATGGGGTACCCATGGCCACCCCCTTTGTCTGTAGGAAGTGGGAGGAATTGAAAGAGAAGTTGTTGAGGGTGAGGACGAGTTCGGCTAAGCGGATGAGGGTGTCAGTGGAGAGGGACTGGTTGGGCCTGCGGGACAGGAAGAAGCGAAGGACCTTTACGCAATCTGCATGGGGGATACAAGTGTATCGGGACTGGACATTCATGGTAAAGATGAGGTGTTGGGGACCAGGGAATCGGAAATTTTGGAGGAGGTGGAGGGCATGGGTGGTGTCATGGACATAGGTGGGGAGTTCATGGACCAAGGGGGAGAAAATGGAGTCGAGATAAGTGGAGATAAGTTCAGTGGGGCAGGAGCAGGTGGAAACAATGGGTCGACCAGGGCAGTCAGGTTTGTGGATTTTGGGAAGGAGATAGAAATGGGCGGTGTGGGGTTGGGGAACGATGAGGTTGGAGGCTGTGGGTGGGAGGTCACCTGAAGTGATGAGGTTGTGGATGGTTTGGGAGATGATGTTTTGGTAGTTGGGGTGGGGTCATGATCAAGGGGGCGGTAGGAGGAGGTGTCAGAGAGCTGGCGTCTGGCCTCGTCTGTGCCATACTACAACTGTGCATTACCCAATCAATCATCTTTTAAATAATACTCTGCCTTTCTGTTTATCCTACTGAAGTGATTCCTTCACACTTAGCACATGCAGAACATTGTTCCTCTGTACCTACACACTCATTCATCTTGTCTAAATCACTTTGAAACTTCTTTACATTCTCCCACCACTCTCGATCCCACCTAGCTTTATGTTGTCAGGCAACTTGGAAATGTTAAATGATTGTGTTATCCAAAATGTTGATATATATTGTGCATGGCTGGGACCCAAAACATTGATAAAGTTGGATATTTTAGACTTTATATATTAGAATAACTAAAAATGAAAGTGTGAAACCATAAGACGAGAAGAAATAGGAAGAGGAGTAGGTTGTTCGGCCCCTTGAGTTTGCCCCACCGTTCAATAGGTTTATGGCTTAGGAAATCCGGCATGTCCATGAGGACCCCCACCAACATTTACAGATGCACCATAGAAAGCTTACTTTCCGGGTGCATAACAGCCTGGTACAGCAACTGCTCTCCCCAGGACCGTAAGAAGCGGCAAAAGATTGTGTGCACAGCCCAGATGATCCGGGAAGCGAACCTTCCATCCATGGACTCCATTTACATTTTTCATTGCTGTGGAAAGGCTGCCAACATCATCAAAACCCCTCCCACCCCGGTAATGCTCTCCTAAAACCTCTTCCATCAAGCAGAAGATACAAAAGCTTGAATACGCACCAACAGGTTCAAGAACAGCTTCTTCCCTGCCGATATTCGACTAATGAATGGACTCTCTTAAGTTCAAATAATGTTCTTGTTAATGTTGATCTTGCTTTGCGCACCTCCTGTGCAGTGTAACCTGTATGCCTCAATCTGTCCATGCACCCAATGATCTATATATCCTTGCTTTCTATGATCTGCCTGTACTGCTTACAAACAAAATCTTTCACTGTACTTGGGTACATGTGACAATAAAATCAATCAATCGTTGTTGATACAACATTGCTCACATCCACTTTCCTGCCTTTTCCTTGTAAACCTTGATTCCCTTACTGATCAAGAATTGATCTATCTCAGCCTTAAACATATTCAAGGACTCTGCCCCTCAGACCTCTCTGCAGCAAGGAGTACCAAAAACACTTAACCATCTGAGATATGAAATTCAATCTCAGTCTTAAATTGACACCCTTTTATTCTAAGACAATGCTGTCTAGTCCTGCACTCTCCCATAAGGGGAAACATCCCCTCAGCACTTACCTTGTCAAGCCCTTAAGAATCCTATATGTTTCAATAAGATGTGCAGCTCCATTTTTTCTGTGCATTAAAATTAATAGGAAAATAAGGTTGTCTTTTCCGGCAAGAGTCCTTATCAGTAATATGATTTGGTTTAGAATACTCAGTGCAATCCTAATTTCATCTGCCTCCATACTAAGTTTACTTTCATTGTGGCCTAATTGCCTTTCCCCTTTCTATTTTTCTTTCATACCTATTACCTTTAAAAGTCATTTCACTGATGCTTAGATACATTCACCCTTCCACATTATTTTGAAGGACAGTGTGTAGATATTACAATGGTTTTTAATGAACTTTCTACAATGACCTCACTGTTCTCTTGTGAATACTATTGACGATTGTGCTAAATGACTGTTAAATACCTAATGGTTTCTGCTTATAGATTAGTAAAAATGATGCTGATAACTGGGCTTGATTTGTTTTTAAAAAGCTGAATCATAGGAAGAGTGGGAGCCACTTTAGTTTGGCAGCTTTGGACAAGAAAGGAATCTGAAATCATTTTCTCTGTGTAGTGTCTTTTCACAAAATGAGCAAGAGGAGAGAAACATGTAATCCTGGTTCAGGAGGAGTTGAGGCCTAGGCTAAACTATGTCGAGAGATGACAAGATCTATATTCAGGATCGACCCAAAGCACATGTCATGTTATTAATGCAATCATCACTTCTTGACATTCAATGGAATTAAATTTGCTGAATCCTCCACTACCATTTAGATGTTACCATCGACCAGAAGCTGAACTGGACCAACCATGTAAATACTGTGGCTGCAAGAACAAGTCAGAGGCTGAGAATTCTGCAGTGTGTAATTCACCTTCTGACTTCTCAAAGCCTGCCAACCATTTACTAAGCATAAGAATGTGATGGAATTTGTGTGCCTGCCTATGCAAGTGCAGGTACAACAACTGTCAAGAAAATGAACACCATCCAGGACAAAACCCATTTCTTTGGTGCCCCATGCAATATTAACAACATTCTCTCTTTCTACACTGAAGCACAGTAACAGCAGTGTGTACTTATTCTCCTCAAAGTTTGATAACTTTGATATTAATCTGGTTTAAGCAGGCCGCATTGTAGTTTCTGCATGCTTAGCCTTGAAGACTGTTGTCCTTGTTCAGCTAATTACTGATGCTAACTATAGATATTTTTAATCAACCTGTTCAAAAGTGTTACAACACACTTCTGGGGCAAGTGAGACTTGAACCTGGGCTTTCTGGCTCATAAATAAGGACACTACCAATGCGTCACAGTAGCATATAACTGTGATAACAGTGTGGCACTGGACAAACACAGCAGGCCAGGCAGCATCAGAGGAGCAGAAAAGTTGACGTTTTGGGTCGGGACCCTTCTTCAGAAAATCTGAATTTTCTGAAAAAGGGTGCTGACCCGAAACGTTAACTTTCCTGCACCTCTGATGCTGCCTGGCTTGCTGTGTTCCTCCAGCTCCACACTGTTATCTCTGACTTCAGCATCTGCAGTTCTTACTATCTCTGAGCATATAACTACCATTGTTTCATTTGAAAAATCTATTGGCATCCATTCCAGTGAAGAAGTGGCCTGTGTAACACCTACATTATATTCTGATCTGTGTAATACCAGGTCAAAGCAAATTGGTACATATTGCAACCATTAGAGCATTACACAAACTGGTAATATTGTGGAGTCATATTGTACAAAAAACTAGTGGGCCAGTTGTGCCAATACCAGTTCTTTGAAAAAGTTATGCAAGAACTTTTTCTCCATATCCCTGCAGATTCTATCTTGTAATTCAAAATACAGAATAGCAAAGCAAATACAGTAACACAACTAAGCCTAACTTTCTCTCTTTTTTCTACAGTGGCAACTATTTCCTAAACTTACTGTCCTATTCCTGATCAGAAATAATTGGGGTAAAAAAGCAAAGGTGGTAATATTGCTTATGTATTTGGTTTCTCTATTTGGCCTTTCCTGCAGGTTTCTATTGATGATGGGCGTCCTGTTTTGTTGTGGCGCTGGTTTTTTTATCCGGAGACGACTACATCCTCCTCAGCTGACTACTGACCCTCCATTTACAGTGGGCTTCACTCGGCATCCTGTTAACACGAGTGGATTTCAGACCACAGGGAGTAAGCGTGGCATCAGTTCATATTTCAGGGCTAAGTTTGTGGCCATCAAATTTTAGCATATTTTAAAACGGGGTGGTGAGGTAATGTTTATATGTCACATGATATTGCATACAGAGTGAAATGATTACCTGGTTTAAAAGACCTTATATTGAGTCTCCTTTGCTCAAACCATTCTGTAAGGTTCCAGTTGCAAGCTGCTGGGCTGAAAACTATGCAGTTAGTATTATTATAACCAAAGACGACTAAAATGAATGTCAAGAAATGATATTAAACACCGCTGGTCACTATCTTCACTTACTCCCTCAACTGGTCTCACCTTTGACAAATGTTAGGACTTCATTTTCTTGAGGGAATCCACTTGGTCTGTTCAGCCTCCTGCTCTCTCTAACTCAGCTTTCACTTCAATATTTCTCTCCTGCTTCTCTCCTGCTCCTCTCAACTTCACAAGTACCTCTGTGCAGTCTACTGCCTGATTCCTTGTCCTTCTTTTGTTTCAACTTTTCTTGACTCTACACTCCAAACATGATTGAACTCTTGTTGTTCTTGGGAACTCCGCACACTTTTTAAGAAAACGCTGTTGTCAGCCCTTCTCCAACACAAATTCAATCTTTTTACTTTTTCCAACTGTCTTCTCCTTTCCAATCTATTCATTGCCACAGAGGTATTTAAATACATTGCTGCAGCTCAATTCTCCCAACATTTCCCTTTAAAGTCTCAAATCTGATTCAAGACTTATCAACATGAGAGAATGTCCTGGTCAAGATTACGAATAGGTATTGTAGTAAACCTTGTTCGTTTTGATCTTTCTACATCTTTGATATTGTTGACAGCTTCATTTTTCTTCCAAAGAAAAATCATATTGGACTCCAAAAGTCAACTCTATTTCTTGCTCCACAGTTGCTGACAGACCTGCTGAGTTTCTCCAGCACTTTGTTTTAATTTCATATTTCCAGTGTCTGAGGAACTTTACTTTTCTTATTCATTTTCATCCATTGTCTTCCCCTTGTGGATTTTCATGTCACTAAGTTCTGTGTCCTATTGCTCCAGCCTTAATCCCCCTTTGTATTACCTACCAGAGGACCAACATGTCTGTAGCTGCAATGCTTTAACCCGCCATCGACGTTCCATCGCAATGTGAAAGGCAGCCTTATGTTTTTGCTTTATCTTGACCTGACATTTTCAGCTCAAAAGCAAAGGTTGCTCTTTTCATTTTTGGACCATTGCCGACTCTTCTCTCGTTGTTTCTCCCCGCCCAAAATGTCCACCTCCACCCTCATCACCTCACCATGAAATCTACTTGGTATTCATGTCCAGAATCAATTTCATGACTGGTATTCCAATCTTTCACCCTTCACAAACTCCAAATTAATTTAGAAATATGTCAGCAATACACACAAGAAAAGTATTAATCACTCTCCCTTTATCCATATCCGTTGGTGTTCTCTCCCCCAGCATACGTTGGTTATGGACTATTGACCAGTTAATGATCACAGAGGCCTTCTGCCTGTCAAAATCCTTGTGTTTGGTTCTAAGGTAACTGAACAGCTTGGAGCTGGGAACGAGGTACAGAGAAGCCATCAGATTTCCACCAGCCAGGAGCTAGCTCATTGTCCGTTCTCTATAGTAAACCACTTTAAACCTGAAGAAAACTATTTTATCTCTCTTTCAGTTCCTGTAAGCTGTGACTTATAATTGATAAGTCAGAGACCATTTTTTAGAAGTGAATCAGTCTCTCTGTGCCTCCCCCTAGTGGAAGCAACCAGAGAAGGATGACTAAAAAGCTGTGTTCTGACTAGCACTAGAATCATCTTCGTAATCATTGTGAACCGGAACTACTGAATTGTATTTTTTTCCGTTTTTTTTCCTTTGTCCATAATGCGTGTGTTATTTCCTACATGTAGGTGTGACAGAGAGGGGATGGAATTTATAAAGGGATTAGAGTTTTAAGTAATGGTGTTATATGCTGACAGCTTTTAACTGTTTACAAAGGTAGAGTCTAATTACATATTATGAATAGTAATTCTCATTAAGTACAGGAACCTGGTCCATGCTTTCTTTCAACCTGGGTCTGAACATCAGATAAATTGGGGAGTCTTTGTGTACTATTTTAACTTTTGTGGTGCCCCTATGAATAACTGGGTTTTAGTTCCAACATGTACCCCATTGAGTTGAGACATGTCTAAATTGGAAAATCTTGTCACAAGAATATTTATTGGCAGCAACTGGACAGCTGCTTTATGATTCTAAAAGTAGGTTTCTTTTGAACCTTCTGTCTTTTTTGTTTTAATATGGTAATTTTTCTAAATCAAATGCTGCTGGCTAGGTGACTTTTAAAGTTGTGCAGTTGGTCTTTGGTGAATCACATGCAGGTCGTTGAGAATGCTACTAAATGTTCTGCATGATACTGTTGACTTTGCCATAAAGCGTAATTGATTACAGTGAGCTTGAAGAGTAAGTCAGTATTCTTGTAACCTTGTACTTTTAAAATACTAATGCAACTATATTTTACATTCAAAGAATGCCGCAAAACTTCCAATTAAAAAAGGGTTTTGTAGCATTCAGTCTTTAAGGCCCATCATCACTTGCTTTGCTTCTTTCAAAGCCAATATTGATACTTTTCGTGAGAATTTGTAAGAAAAGAGGGCCGTTTGCAAGGATAGTAGGGTTTATAATATAATTGGGAAGGTAGATAGTGGTTCATTTGCTGTGCAGAAAGATACTTTGTTGCATTAAATTTTTTAAACTTAATCCAGTTCTTAAGCTGAGTGAAATTTCATATGGAGATGGCCTATTTTTTAAAGGATCAGCAGATTTCATCTGAAAATGCAATTTTGCATTGAAAAAATCAGATTTGCTTGCGCAAACACAAATTTTTTAAGACATTTGCCGATATGAAATTTAAGTATTGTGCAATTAAATTGACACAGACACATTCACTTATCATTTTGTGGTTTGCTTAAATCCTGCTGATAATGCTTACTAATGGGCAAAAATAGCTAACATCAGGATTGCTCAGTAGAAAAAGTACATAACAGAAATTGTGATTTTTTTTTTTAAATGTGAAAATAATGAACTTGCTGACCAGTAGAAGCAAGATATCCTGATAGAAGAAGTCTGTAAATTTGACAGCCAATATAAGCATGACAGTGAGGAACTGGTTTTGCTTGAGGATAAGAAAAACAGGAGCCAGAAGAGGCCATTTGTCTCATCAAGCCTGCCTAGCTCTTTAACAAGATCATGGCTGATCTGCCCCAGGCCTTAACTCCTCATTCATGTCAACTTATCATAGCCCTCAACTCTCTGATATTTGAAAAATCTGTCGATTGCTTCTTTAAATACTTTCAGAGATCTCGCCTCCACAACACACTCAGGTAGAGAATTCCAGGCATTTACTATCCTTTCAGGAGAAGAAATTCCTTCACATTTTGACTTTAAATTTGTGTCTGCTTATTCTGTAACTATGTCCATTAGTTTCCCTACCAGTGGAAACACCTCAACATCTACCCTCCCAAGCCCCTTCAGAATCTTGTATATTTCATTGAGACATGTAAGAAACTTGTTTGTTTCATTCTTCCAAACGCCAGTGAATAAAGGCCTGACCTTCATAGGTCAACCCTTCATCCCAGGAATCAGCCTAGTGAATCTCTTTTGAGCACCAGCATCATATTTTTCTAAAATATAGGAAGGAAAAACCATACACAGTACCTCAGGTTTGGCCTGACCAACTCCTATACATTTGTAACAAGATTTCCTTATTTTTGAATTCCTACAAGGGTAAAAATTCCATTTGCTGCCTTAATTACTCGCTACCCTTGCTAACTTCAACTTGCACCAATTACAACTAGTGCTTCAAGTGACCTTTCCTTCTTATGTCTATGTAGGCGTACATGTCAATAATGATAATTACTCATGATGTCCTATCCTTTGTAATGCAAATCCCAGTTCCTCTAGCATGACCTATACCATGACCTTATGTTCTACACTGGGTATCTTGACCTGTTCCATTTCTGCTTCTACATCTCTGTTGCATACGACCAGCTGATCCCAAACCTCTTGTCTCAATCTGCGCAGCTGCTTGCAAAGCTTTCTCATAAATTGTTTACCCCTCTTCACTTGCAGGTCGTACTTCCTCAATACCAGCCACACCATCTCCTGACAATCTCATTACCTTGCCTGTCATATGAAGTTAATCTGGTTGACCTACTAGATTTTACCCTAAATCCCATCAGGATACCAGGCAACAGTTTGGCCTGTTCCTGTGCCATCTCCTAGATAGTTTTAGCTAATGGTCTGTTTGATATCCGATCAATTTGCTGTACTGTCGCAAAGCTCTGGGTGATTGAGGAAATTCAGTTTTTGTTTTATTCTCAGCAACTTAGAAACTTCACAAGAAATAGAAGTAGGAGTAAGCCATTTGTCCCCTCAAGCCTGCCAGGCCCTCAACTCCTTGATATTTCACAATTTATCTTCAGCCTCTTTAAATACTTTGTGATCTGAGCTCCACAACTCTCTGGGATAGACAATTCCAGACATTCATAACTCTGGGAGAAGAAATTCCTTTGCATCTCAGTTTTAAATATGTGTTAAGAGACAAAACAAAAACTGCATATGCTGAAATCCAAGATAGACAAAGATGAGGCTGGAAGAACACAGCAGGCCAGGCAGCATCTGGAGGAAAGGAGATGTCAATGTTTTGGGTAATACCCTTCTTTAGGAGTGGATGTGGGAGTAGGGGGAGCTGCATATAAATTTGAGGAACAACACCTTATTTTCCGCCTACAGCCCAGAGGACCCGACACTCAGTTCTGTAATTCCAAATAACCTTCCCACCCATCCTCCGGCTCCTCCCTTCCATTCCACTTACTGATTCTGACTTCCAGCTACCAACCGAATTCATCTTTCCCATTGACCAACCGTATCATACCTACTACCAATGTCCACCTATCACCATTCCGCAACCCCCCTCCACCACCCCAACCCCCCCCACCCCCCTTTGCCTGCAGCTCCCCCTACCCCGACATCCAGTCCTGGAGAAGGGTAATACCCGAAACATTGATTTCACCTTTCCTCCAGATGCTGCCTGGCTTGCTGTGTTCTTCCAGCCTCTTGTTTAAATATGTGTCCTCTTATTCTGTAACTACGTCTCCTAGGTAAAGATTCTGCACAGGTGAAATCATCATCTCATCGTCCACTTTAAGTCCCTTCGTCATCTTGCATATTTCAATAAGATATATCTTATATATATATCCTCAATATATCCTCAATCTTCCAAACTCAGTTGAATGAAGGCCTAACCTGTTTATCTGTTTTCAGTAAGTCAGCCCCTTCATCTCAGGAATCAGCCTAGCAAATCTCTTTTGAACTACCTCCAATTCCAGTGTGTCGTGTTTTAAAAATACAGAACCAAAAATGTACAGTATACAGTATTCCAGAGACAGTTTCTCCAACACCCTGTGCTGTTGTAACAACACTACTCTATTTTTAAACTCCCCAGTACTAAAGGCCAAAATTCTGTGTGCTGCCTTAATCACTCATCCTGTAAAATGTGCCTCCTGAGCTGAATCTCTTAGTAATAGTATTCCCTATTTCAGGATTACCACTTCTAACAATATTTAAGTAACATTTGTCACTGAAAAGCCTTGTGTGGGATAGGCTTCCACCATTCTCAGTTGGTCAATAACGATCAAACAATAAGTTTTCTCCGGTTCTGTAACTGCTCGTTTAGTCCATTTGGTCAGGCTGGTTTTACATGGGCATCTTGGGCTATTTTGGGCACATGCCAAGCAATTGCTGACAGTGTTTTGCTAAACTCTTCCTATGCCACCACTAGCATTTGCTCGTCCTCCTTAATGTGGCTTCCCTCAATGGTTTCCATCTCTGTATATATTTCCATGTGGTTATGCTGAATGCAGCACCTTTTCTTTTCTGCCAGATGCCCTCAGCATCTTTTACTACTCATTGTTCCTGCCATCACTTATTCCTAAATGTGCCATGTTTACTTTCTCCAAACCAATTTCTGCTGCTGCCACCTGATGCTTGGGGCCTGTTGCGATTGCCTTCTTAGCTGCTTCATCTGTCTTAAGGTTACCTATTTGAGTGTGATCTGTTTCCTTTTGATTGTGCTTGAACCTTTATCACTGCTGCCTCAAGTAGAAGTCTGACAGTTCCCACTAATTCCTTAATTACTGTCTCATGCTATATGTGCCCTTCTTCTGAGGTGATGTACCCCCTTCAGTTCCATGATACAATATAATCATATACCAGTCCAAATGCTACCTGCTGTCTGCGTAAATGTTAGCCTGTTTGTACCCAACATTTCAATTTGTTTTCAAGATTCTATTATTTCCCTCCACCACACCCGAAGATATGGATTGTCAGTATCTATCTGAGATTGTATTACCCATCTATAGATTACTTTGCTGAGTAACCTTCTGTAACAGACGTTGTTGCTAATTCTTTATTACTAGCTTTTAGACACAAATGCTTTAACTACTAAATCAATTTAACTTAAAAGACCCTACAGCTCTCTTCCTTAAACTGTATGCAACTTGTGAATGTTCGTAAAGTTATAATTGTTCCATTCCAAAGTTTATCCCATATATACTAAGCTTCTTTGCATTTTCTTTCACTTTAGCCTATATAAATATCAATTTGATATATTTAATCAAGTTATGCCATGATAGATTATTCCAATTTCTCAACACAAAATATATTTACTGTTTGAAAACCGAAAGAACTGCGGATGCTGTAAATCAGGAGCAAAAGCAAAAGTTGCTGGAAAAATTCAGTGGGTCTGGCGGCATCTGTGAAGGAAAAAACAGAGTTAACGTTTCAGGTCCGGTGACCCTTCCTCATAACCTCAGGAATGAATCAGATGTGTTTTTTGTATATAATTTGGGAATAAATCATTTCATCCATTTTGTGTATAAGTATACATTTCAGAACATATAAATTGATCAGCTTTAAAGTGCATCATGTCAATAAACATTATTGAAATTTGTCATTCTGAGAAGTTGAAATTCTATGACCGTTCATTTACTCTGTTAGAGTAAATTGCACTAAAGTTATCGAATTTTGAGTTTATAAATCTAACACTGGAGAGAACACACCACTTTTTATTACTCATTTGCCAGTGCAGTACAGCTAGTATTTTGTAATGAGACAACTAAGAATCCCACAAATACACTACCTACTCAGTAATTGTGCCAAAACAAAATTATTCCATATCACATTTGTTTATCTGAAACTAGCACCACTTAACAGAATACACTGATTCAATTTTCATTTTATTAAATATTAAGTTCTTTTCATTTTCCCTCTCCTCTATTGGCCAACTCAACATGACTGCCTACTTCTGTCAATAATTTGTATCTAGACGGCTCCTTCAGTGGCTTCTCTTCCCATATTCACTCTGTTGGTGCTGGAGTCCAGATCTATTCATGGTTTCCTCGTATCTTTCATCAATTTGTTGGTCCATCAATGTTATCCAAAAACGCATCCAGTTCCACATGTATACTGTCATCAAAATTTACCTCATCACCGCATCTCTCAACCCAGTCACTGTCAGTGTAAGTTTGCTCATTAAGCATCCAGTTGCAAAGCCACATTTTCTTCAGTTAAATGCCAAAAAGATCGTGCCAGCAATTCTATTCTGCTTCTTTGCTGCTGTGTCATCCTTTTCTAGACTGCTTATAAATATGCAGTTTACTCAATGCTAAACTGAGTTTCTGACCTTGTATCCTCTCTCATCACAAAATCCCCTCAATTTCCATTTCTGAACCATTGTTCTTCTCTGCCGTCCCTTAGCTAATCAGCTACTGCACCCTTTAGCCATACTGTGTTATCTGCAGAGCCAATCATTTGAGTCCACTTCTGACTGACCATCTAACACTTTTGTAAACATTTTATCCAAAGATCTGCCATTATCCTAATTATCCTACCCTAATACCAGTTTCATCTTCCCATCTCCAATGTGCTTGATGACCTACTTTAGCTCCTGGTTTAGCAGTGTCTCTTTAAATATTTATGGTCATGTTCCAGTCTCTTCATGGCCTTAACCCTGACCCCTTCCGGCCCCTTACGTCTCCAACCATATCCAATCTCTTCCATATCCACTAGTACTTTAGGTCAGGATTGGCATTTGTGCCTTGAACCTTTTTAAATTCATGTGCGGGATGTGGGCATCGCTGGCTGGCCAGCATTTATTACCTGTCCCTATTTACCCTTGACAAGGTGGTGGTGTGTCACCTGCTGTAGGTTGACCCACAATGCCATTCCGGAGAGAACTCCAGGATTTTGACCCAGCGACAGAGAATATATTTCCAATTCAGGATGGTGAGTGGCTTGGAGGGGAACTTGAAGGTGGTCATGTTCCCATACATAAGCTGCTCTTGTCCTTCCAGATGGAAGTGGTTGTGGGTTTGGAAGGTGCTACTTGAGGATCTTTGGTGAATTTCTGCCCTGATTTCTGGAATTCCCTCTCAAAAAAGCACGCTACACCATATCTCCCTTCCTAATATCTCCTCACTTTCATCCGTAATTACTTTGTTTGATTATGATCCTGTGGCAACATTGTGCTTCATGGAAGGTATATAATATGCATTTAAATTGTTGCTGATTTTCTGTTGAAAACAATAATTTGATTTTAACCTTCTTAATCTGACCTAACTAGAGGAGCAAGCTAATTTTTGTCACTGTATCATTGAGTGACACTTTTTAATTTACTTTCCATACAAGTAATATTGTTGCTTTTGAGTGCTAAGTTTCTGTGTAATCATCTTGTGTTTCTTCTGTTTGCAGGCAACCAGACTGGAATGCAATATTACACAGAACCTGGAGCGCCTGTTGTTAATCCCATTGCCTCAACCTATCAAATTCAGCCAAATTTTCCTCTACTCAACCCAGCCTACCCACCCCCGCCAGCCTACTGCAATCAGCCACCCCCTCCATACGAGCAAGTTGTTAAAACCTCAAATAAGGAAGGTGAAAGATAAATATCAGATTTCAGTTGATATCACTTTGTAGACTGGCAACCTCTGATCTACGGGAGAAGTTTCAGCGAGATGCAAATCTCTGGGCATATACACTTAACCACAGTTCATCCGAGGAATTGCATTTAGCTTTGATGCCTTTTTGATAGATTAGTATACTGTAGACCCTCCAGTTTATGTGGTCAAAGCCTTGTAAAAAAATAACATGTTCAGTTTCAAAACTGGGGATCTAAGGTAGGGAATTGTATAAACTTCAGTAAACAAAGAATGTCTAGAATTCTGTAGAAACTTTGTTTTAAAACTTACTCTTGTCCTTGGAAATGGTTTATAAGTAACATTTTAATCCTCCAACGCTGTTTTGGTCAAATTAAAATAGAAACAAATTTGTGTTAATCAGTTTAACTGGACTTGTTTATTGATGGTTAATTAATGTATAGTTGCTAGAAGATGCTATTAATGTGAATAATCTCTGTTAATAAGCATACTACATTTGTCAGCCAATCTTAGACTTTTAAAAGGTTTATGATAAATGGAGGGAACTCACATTGAACAATATGCCGTGAATAAGTAAGTCAGACATTTATTTTAACCTATAAACTTTTTTCAAAAAATTATACATTTAAATTTCAGTCCTGTTCACATGCATTAGCATCGTAAAGGTTACAATTAGATGAAATAAGTTTTTTGTACAGAAAGGTTTAGATATATTTTCATGCAGAATTTGGGTTAGTAAACGATAGGTAGCTAGTGATACTGTTTCCTAGATATGAGATGATCCCATCCGTATTATTGTAGTGAATGGAGAATGGTTTGGTGTTTTGATATTGTACTTAGGTACATGTATGAGTACACTTCACTAACTTGTTTTCTGTGCTTAATGAGTTTTTAGTTTCTTATCATCTTGCAGAAGAATTTTCAGAGAGGTGAATTCAGTGCTGCAAACAGAGAGGAAAGCCTTAAATAATTTCACTCAACAGTAGCACTATGCAGCTCTGAAAGCTGAACAACTCCATTTTCATTGTACAGCTGTAAAATTTAAAATAACTCTGGAAAAGTTATTGTCCCAAACATACTTAATTTTAATTTTTTTTAAAGTGGCCTGTCTTATGCATGAAATTCCTGACAAATTTTACAAATTAATTATGAAAAGAGGGTTTTTATGTGCAAACAGGTAATTTGGATTTTATTTGAAGATTAATATACAAATTATTTTAAATTTAAATTCTCCATAATCTTTAATTTAATGCAATTCTTAATTTTTTTTGAAAAATTACTAATTTGAGGCAAACAGCTTGAACTATACTTCATCGATGCCTTATAGTCACAACGTCCTTTGTTAAAGGAACAATTTTGATTTTTTTCAAATGAAGAATTGCACTGTTCATGTGTGGTGTATTACTCAATGGAATGTAAATAACCGTGTTTTGATGCAAAGAATCAGTATTGAACAAATTTACACTGCACTAACAGTTGCTACAATAAAATGCACCAGTAAGCAGGATTTTTCAAAACAGCAATACTTAAAGGTTTTCGTATTTTACCTCCTCCTAAATAGATCACAAATTCGTGTGTAAAATGAATGATCCTCAATCGTATTCTTTTTATTACTTATTACTAGTTGCAGAACTGCTAATATTCTTATCCTATAGTGTGATTTAGAACCTACGATAAAATGATGGGATTGGAAAAAAAGCATGTGCATATGCATTCAATACAAGATAGTGAAGCAATATATTTTTGCATAATCTAGAATAATGGCACTGATTAGAGCACAGTATGGGCAAACTGAGGCCCTATTGCAGAAAGAAAGCACTGTGGCCAATGGCAAATGTGACATCACTTGGATGATAAAAGAATCATTATGATGGGAAAAACTTGGAAACCTGAAGGGAAAGATTGGAGTTAATTGCATTACTGTTCACAGCCAGCCAAGCACAGTGGACCAAATGGCTTTCTTCAGTGCTGTAAGATTCTCAGTCTTGAAACCATATTTTCTATTTGCCAGAAGGCTAATGGGTAATGCAGGAGAAATGTACAAAGTTTTCCAAAGGTGTGTGGGATTAAATTAGAATAAAATTATATTTTGTGCTGCTGGTGGGGAATTGAGTGCATATCTTTGGAGGATAAAACAGAACGGCAGCATTTTTCTTAAATAGTGAAAGATTGGGAAGTGTTTGTGTACAAAGGAGCCTCGGTGTCCTTTGTAATGAGCTATTAAACCCTTGCATATTGTGAATCAGTTGTGTTTAGCTTTAGTAACCCACACCTGGAGTATTGTATACTTAGCTCTAGAAGGAAATACTTGCCATAGCAGGAATGTAATGGACGTTCACCCAGAATAATCCCTGGGATAACGGGATTATTTTATGAAGAGACATTGACAAAACTAGGTCTGTGTTTTGAAAAATGAAAGGGGATCTCTTTGAAACTTATTGCATTTTTACAGGACATGACTGCATGGTTGTAGATGGGATGTTTCTTCTGGCTACTGAGATTAGAATTGGAGATAGTCTCAGAGAAAGGTGTAGGTTATTTCAGATTGAGATGAAAAGGAATTTTTTTTCACTTGGTGTGAATTTTTGGCATTCTCCACCTCGGGCCGTAGAAGTTCAGTCATTGAGGTTCAAGACAGAGATGATAGATTTCTGCAGACTAATGGCAGGAGATGTATCCATATCATGGAAAGCGAGGTTGAAATAGATGATCAGCTGAGATCTCATTGAATTGTAAAGTAGGTTCAACATTCTAAATGGCCAACTTCTCCCATGTTAAAACCTTGGCAGACGCTGTACACTTTTCTGACCATTGATAATTATAATGGTCTGCCCTAAATTTATAACTGGGGAAGGCTCCAAGTAAATCAGTGCTAATCTAACATTGTTTCTTATGGCTGAGGGCATAAAGGGAACTTTTTATTTCCCAATTTTTAACTAGTGATGCCACTTCAAAAGTATTTAACCAGCTCTAAAGACTTTTGGGTGGTACTGAGATGTGAAAGGTGTTACATAAATGCAAGTTGTCTCCAGGGAAAGGTATATTAGGTTATGGAATATATTAAAGCTGAACCAGTTGTACCATTTTAAGAAGTAATTAGATGAGCACTTGAAAATGAAAAAGGGTATAAAAGGAAGGAAGAGAATTTAGGTTATGGCCAGAGTTTCAAGTTGAGTTGGCACACGCGTAACCAAATGAATAATCTGTTTAGTGGAAAATGTCACAAATAAGTAGATCAGAAGAGATGCTAGTATCCAACAGGTTCGGTGGACTCAATGAGTTTTATCTGTGCTAAAGTTTCTATTATTCTAGTCTTTACATGAATTCACAGTAGTTACGATTGAGTATGCATGACTAAGTAGTTTGTTGCTGCTTGATGACATTACATTAAAGGTTAATGTACTTAACCGCTCCTGACAGTACATAATCAATAGTTTGCCGTTGTCTGACAGTTTCTGGAGAGAAAAAGAATTTTACAACTTTGTACTTCTATACATAGGTAATTTGAGTGAAGGAGTTGGTTGAAAATTCTACAGGTTTATCAAATAAGACTACTGTCTTTGGTCACTTCTTCAAGTTCTTCCCTTCCCCCTCACCTAAGTGACTGTTTCTTATGTGAGATTAGATAAATTGAGTGTGACCAGGCTACTTAACTAGCTTCTGATGCAGCTAATTCTGCCTTTACTCAAACTCAACACATGCTCTTTCATCAGGCATCGATTCTTTAGAGAAATGACCATATGGAATATATCAAGAGTTGGAGGCGGGGCATAGAGACAGTTTCACTTGCAAACATAAAGATAGGTAGAAATGGTGGAGAAACATTAATTCTGATTGAGAATTACTGGACTCAAAACGTTAACTCTGCTTCATTCCCACAGATGCTGCTGGGCCTGCTGAGTTTTTCCAGCAATTTCTGTTATCGTTTCACTTTCAAAGTACTTATTGTCCTTTGCCTTTAGTGCTGCCCCAGTGTGTACCAAAGCGATTGTTTTGTTTATGTCTAAATGAGTATAAGTTTGGTGAAGTTATTGGCTTCCAGTTGTGTGATGTTGAGCATCATTAGTTTAGTCTTTTCATTTGAAAAGGCTGAAAACCACAGGCTGATTAAGTAGTGATTGGAGGAATGCATTGAAACACTGTGACTTGCCATAACAATGTGACTTTTGTTGTAGTTGTTTTCAGTTTAGGAAAAGAGCCATTAAAGTATGAGAGGTAAACATCTAAAATTGTAGACTTTAGAACTGTAAGACAGCTAATAAGAAACCAGGAGTAATTAGAACTTCAGTCTGCAGCTTTGTACTACTGGGTGAATCAGGATGGCTTTGAATTTTTCAGTTCCTACTCCTGTGAAGCTGAAAAACGATATGAGAAAGAATTGGAACTACTTCCTGTCTCATGGTAAAAATGAGATAGCTACAGAGTTGAACAGAAAATAAAGAAAAGTAGCGATTCTGTTATTACTGATAGGAAACAGTGCTACAAGCTGTATTACACACTAAACCTGAACGGAAAAGACAATCTGGAGAAATCTTGAGAACCTTAAATACACATTTTGAGCTAATCTACCAATGTTATTTGTGAATGGTGCATGCTTCACAGCAGAGCATAGGGAGAGGGAATGTGGAAATATTGATCAGATTATGACGGCATGGCGATGTCTAGCTGGATTGTGAGATTGTAGGTGACTGAAGGATGATCTCATCAAAGATGCCATTAGGAATAGATCCTGCCGTGATAGCAGGTCTGTTGAGAGAAGAGAAACTGACTCTAAGAACACTTTTACATATGCGGAAGCTCTGAGGTTGTTTATCCATCAGTTGGAGAGTAGTAATGGGAGAATTGATGAATCTTTGTGTTATGCTGTGAGACAGTCCAGACTTAACAATAGAACTAACTACAAAATGGAAAAAAGGAAGAAATATTTCCAGCAGAAATGTTGCAGAGAATCATGTGAAAGGAAAAGAAAAATGTCCAGCATAGGGAAGTTTTTTTAACTACAAGGAGCTAATCACTTGGTTTGGTGAGCGTGATTTTTGCTGGAGTGAAGCAAAGCAAGCCTATAAATTTGGCTACCAGAGAGATGTCACATAATGATTCTGATGAATCACTACAATGTCAAACAGATTGGCACTATCCTGCCTAAAGGTGATAACTGGTTTAAGACTGTTAGAACATGACTGCAGAAGGTAAGAATAAAGTGAATGTGAAGTGACGAATGGGCAGCAGTGCTGTGAATCATCATGAGCTTCAGAGACCTGTGCAAAGTGGTTCAAGATGGTAACCTAAAAATGAACCCATTGAAGGTAAAGTTGAAATTGTATGATGGAACAATGCTCATCCCAAGAGGACAAACAAAGCTGCAATACTAGTGCAATGAGAAGAATGAAAATTTGCAGTTCTAATTAATAGACTTTAAATTGAAAGGTTAGACCGGTAGTCCTCACTTAACAGAAGAAATTTATAAGATTCTACAGTGTTCCAAACCTTTGACTGTTGAACAGACTCAAAATAGAAAAAGGATACTTTTACTGGTCATCTTAATCGACGTGGAGAATATTACCTGAAGTAGATGAAAGTTCGAGACCCACTCGGTGAGGAGAATTCTAGCGATCTTCAAGTCAAGCCTGAAAGACAGGAAAGTGGAACTGGTAAGGAAAAGATTAATGAAGGATATGACAACTCCTGCCAAACAAGACTGGCAGCATGGTGGTAGTGGAAAAACCTGGAAAGTTGAGAGTGTGAATAGATCGAAAGGATCTTAGTAATACTTTAAGGAGATTTCACTACCCCTTGGTAACCCTAATTCCCAAGGCAAAAAGTGTTTCCCCTAGATGCAAAGGATGAATGGTTTGTGAGTATGTATGTAAGCATCAGTTTTCTTTGGGTCCCATTTGGGAGTTTCAGGTTGTTATGCATGTTGTTTGTCATTTCTACTGCTCCGGATGAGTATCTGGGCGAGTCTCTGACTTTCACATCCAGGTCAGTGATATAAATGGAACAGCATTCCCTCAAGCTGAGGAAGGAGCATCATCCCAGGAATGAGCAGAAGCTGGATAAATAGCGAACAAAACTCTTATGTACCACTTCGGATTTGAATGCTGTAAGGATTATGAAAGTGAGATGGAAGAAGAAACAAAGTTCTTGTTCACAAGTGATTGCACCCTTTATCCAACATGTAACTTGGAGATGCAGGTGATAGTACATGTAATTCTTTTTGGTTGCTTTATTATGAGGAGGACATTCAGAAATACATTTTACTCTGACTTTCTATAGTCTTTTGACCTGTAGTTGCTTTCAGTTTAGGGAAAGAAGTTGTTAAAGCTTGCCCATACAACAAATAGGAATACTTCTTTTCTTGTCTAAGAAAGGACAAAATGGACACTTGCCTTAATTTTAACTTGCATTATTTCAAAAGCTCCGTTTCATGGTTTTGGAAGCAAAGATAGTGTTTATTTTACATTTCAAATTAATTGCAGGCAGACACTGCTCTCCTGCAGTTTGAATTCCGGACCCCCTTTTTCAGAGTTACTGAACTGAAAGTTTTGATGCGACTTTGTACCTTTTTGTAAGGTCTTGAAATGAATTTAAATTGTTTGTTACTCCTATGGCAAATGAATTTGGAACACATGCTTTTTGACTATTCTTTTTCCCCGTGCTTTTGAGTGACTATTTCAGAGTGAATCACACCAGTCACAGAGTTCGTTTAGTAAATTTTGGAGTAGCTTCCTATTTTTACTTCAAAAGTATTTTTTTTTTTGAAGAACATTGCTTTCAAGAATACCATATTATCATCAAAATAGTAAAATACGCTGGCTTTGCTAAAGTGAATGTAACGCACAACTTCACAAATTGCATGCAGTGGCAGCAAAAATCACACTGTTCTGTAAAATGTTTTTCCATCCGTGATTTGCTCTGTAAAGTACAAATTCAAAATGGCTGTGCTGTAGTTCAGGTTATTGATAATTTATAAAGCTCAGGGACTGCATTAAAACTTTGCAATTTATTACCTTATTTGTAAAAATTAGTTGAAGATGTAATTTTTATTTTAAATTGTTAAGTTTAATAGTACTGCTTTTGGAAATAGACCCTAATTTTTCCATCTAACTATAGGTCTGAATTCCAGTCTACAGTATTTTTAGATGGGAGTGAAACTCTCTAGTTAAATGTCTGTCAGAGATATCAACATTGGACGTAACAAATGAAAATTTCATAAACAGGGTTTTAAGGATGGAAAGTTGAAAGAATGTTTGAGGGTTATTCTTCGTTTCCTGGAAACCAGGTTGGAATGGAGGGCAATGAGCGTATAGATGGAAAATTATGGATCAAATTGGTCAGATTGTGTTCATGTAATTGAGAAATAAATGCGTAATAGTCAGTTAAAGTCAGAGAATTCAAGAAAAGTTAGGGAAAGTTCCTTTTCAGTGTCTGCTGTTGCCATCAGTACCTTGTTCACATTTCTCCAGTTCATTCCTGTGTATTTACCAGTGTTTGCATCGATCTATGCTAATTATTAACCTGTTAGCAATATTTAGTGTTGATGCAATTAGAAATGTAGTATTAGTTAGAACATGAATTTTAATAAGCAGGCTATTTTTGTTGTGCAATGTTGCTTTTCAACAACTTGGCATTTCTATCAGACTTGTAGCCTTGAAAAGAACATCTTAAGGCACTTTACACAAGTATAAGGGAAAATGAGTGCTCAGACAAAAAAGGAACCATAAGGTTGGTCAGAGAAGTAGATTTTAAAGAGGGTCTTGAAGGGGCTGGTCAATTTAATGAGATGATTTCAGAGCATGCCTTTGGTTGTTGACATTGACTACAGTTGATGGGGTGAAGTTAGAAGCAGATGTACAAAATGTCAGAAATGGTGCTTTGGTGAGACCATTGGGGATTTAAACATAAACCTGATAGTTTTAAAGTTGAGGCTTATCTTTTGAAATTGTTACATATGTTAGTTAATTTCAGCTACAGAAAACTGTTTAAGCATTGTATCAACGTATTACGGGCAATGTAATCTGTCAAACATTTAATGCTTATTTTACCTAA